AGATACCACAAACAACTCGGTTTTAGAACATCACCTTTAGCTTGCTGGACTTGGGATTCATATTCCTTTACTCGACCACACTTGTGGTCTTGTGTGGTCTTACTTCAGATGCTTTGTGTGCCTAATTTATTTTCTCATTAATCCATTTTAGGGTTGCTTGTTTCCCGTTTTATGACTGATTTCAGGACTACAATCCACTAATGATGCCAAAGAACAGTGAGGACTTTTGGAAGTGGGCTAAGGGGAGCTTGATATTTTTCTGCCCACTTGCAATGCGCTCTCTGCCAGGGGAGTGGGTGTAGAGGCTGGAGAGTCAGCTTGCCAAATCTCTGCTCTCCATCCAAAGCAGAAAGACCCATGAAATGAATATTCATTCCCCACCAAACAATCATTTTCATTCTTTCACTCTCTCTCTCTCACGCTCGCTGTGTCTGTCTCGTGTCCGTGTCCGGACATACAGTATATCCAAGTTCACACTCAACGTCTCACTTGGTACATAAAAATTCCAGCATTGATTCATGAAGTACCTCATATGACCCTCTTTCCAGAGAAACTGGATTGCTCTTCCTGCATTGCTCACATCTTTGTTATATATGTTGAATGAGACTTGGGGGCTACTTGTGGGCAGCGCAACAAGCTGTACACACAGTATTGACATATTATCACCTTTTTAAGTTGTCACGGCCACAGTGCAAACAATTGCCTATTGACCCATCCAACAGACACAGAAAAACATAAGTATTTATTGTGTCAAGTGTCGGTTTACATAATGAATGTAAGGCCAATATTCACTCTCCTTTAAGCTCTGTTTTGGTCTCCACCAACTCATGAGGGAAATATCCAGCTCTTTAGTTACTAAATGCTCCACTATGTTCACCAGCTAGTCGCTAACTTTGTTTGTCTGCTTTTTGGTGTTGAGCAGTGGGTTTTTAAGCTTTTCTTTTGTTTAAAACAGCTGCCGGCTCCGGACGAAGACCACTGCTGAGACAGTGACCCAAAACTGAAAAAAAGCAGAAAAATACTCAAATGTTCAGTAGAGCCATGGTAAAAAAAAAAAAAGGGAAAGGAAGACTGGACACAGAAATGATGATGCTCAACTAAAAGAATTCTACTTGCACATAAAGTAGCCACACCAAGATGTTGACAGCCCCCATTTACTCAATTAAGAACCATCACCTAATCGCCACAGCTGTGTCAGGTCTCAGCCAATCAAGACAGCTGCGAAGGAACAGTTTGACCTATTCAGTAAAGTGCTCATCGCCATGACTAGGGAAAGATTTGGATGGAACGGAGATAGACGCAAAGCTAGAAACCCCAGAGGGATGAACACATCTGTGAGAATCCATCTTGGTTTCCATTGTATTCCCAAACAAGTACATCGGTTGAGCAATGCATACAAGGGGAACGTTTCAGTTGCATCAGTAATGTTTATGACTCTTAGGCCTTTGGAAATTTACAGCTGAAATATGCACGCGATGAATCAGGGACAACAAGAGTGAGAGAAAAACAATGGAGAATTTATAATGTCTGGCGCCTCGGAGAGTTTAAGAGCCAAATCAGTGTGCGTGAGAAATGTTTTTACACTTAAGTTTTAGCAAACCAGATGTGTAAAGGACGAAAGACTTAGAGTATGTTTTTACTTCTTTACTTTTTCTTGTTTTCATAGACAAAGCACGAACAATGCCATGGTTCTACTGCGTACTGAAAGCTGTTCACTCTCTTGGCATTATCACTTGAACTCACTGACCGATTGCAATCCTTTCCTTCACAAAGTGTGAGAGAGAGGGGGGGGGGAGGTGGAAGGGAAAGGTCGTCTGCTGATCCTGTCATCAGGCTTTTGCATCCTTCAGATGTGGAATGTGGAACTTCCTCTCTATGCCTCCTTACAGGGTTTCCTGTATCCACAGAGAGCGTGCAGGTCAAATGTCAGGCCGACTGTAAAATTGGTCTGGTAAATTCTCAGTGCATGCCAAAGTACAGTTGTCGGGCCATTCGTTTCTTCACCTCTGTATTTTTTTAAGATTGCCTCCCACAGGAGCTGCTCTTTACTGGTAGACAGCGAGTTTTACAAGAGTCCATTTCAGACCTTGAGTTTACCATATCACACTGCTGAACTGAGATATTTATAGTTCCTATGAGTGCTCTATTATCATATTTATACTAGTATTTTTAATAATACCTTCCGTGCAACTGCTCTTTTTAACAATCAAGTTTGTCTATTATTAAACAGACGTACAAGGCAAGGCACTGTGACACAAGGTCCGCATCCAGAGTCCCGTCTGTGTTTGGGTTTAGGCAACAAAAACACTTTGGTTAGGGAAAGATTGTGGTTTCAGTCAAACGTTAGAAACAGTTAAGTCAGTATCAACATTCTTGCAGCTTACAAGATACGTTAATTAACTTAGAATGAGTTAGTCATTCCCTCATCATGTTTTTAGAAATCGTAGTCCAGTCAACATTATGTTTCCTTCAAAACGTATTTGCTGTTGCAAATGTCTTCTAAATACCTTCCCTTGTCTAGTACTGGGCACTGTTGCATTCACCAAACATCAAGAGACAGGAAGTAACAAATACGGATATCAAAACACACTTCAGACCTTGAAAACAAGTCTAATAAATAACATGAAAATAAATGAAAAAACTAGACCTTCAAGCAGGAGGTAGAACGGGGTCCAAGTACTTGATGTAACTTGGGGCCATAACTATCTCACTGCTTCTTTTTGTTCTTCAGGCACAGCACAGTCCAGAAATCATGCTTAGCATGTAGCTGAGATGTTGGAGGTGTTTATAGCAGCTCTTCTACAAGCCTGTGTAAACTAAGGTTAGTCAGAATCCACCTCTCATCCATGTCTATCCTGGAAAAGAATGAATTTGCTGAACCAATTAAATTACTCCTAAACACGTCTTGACAACTGTTGATTCTGAAAGTTACAAAACTTTGGGATTGTTGAACCTCCAGTCCATGATTAGAGAGTGATCTGATGATCTGGCAGCACGTGTCAGAAGCATACAGCAGCCTTTAGTCATGCAGAACCCCAGCCACTCACTCTAAGCTTGTTATCTCAATATGTTTAGTCTATGTCTGTCTCTTGACTCTTCTGTCAAACCTATGGCCCCTATCTCTTCTTTCTGTCTTTCATTTCTCTCCCTAATGGGTCTCCCACACTCCTTCCACTCCGACCTCCTCTTTTAGGGGGTTAATGGTGTGAATTTCAACACTTAAACTCCACAGATGTGTGATTTAAGAAAGGAAGTATTTATAACTGATGACTTTCAGCAGCACGGTCTTCCATATGGCTGAATGTCCATGGCAGACTCATACATTCACATGATTTTACATATTTACATTGCATTGTTGTGAAACTTTAATCTCCTATAAGAAGTTCTTCGGACATGATCACAAATGATGCTGCGATGAGCTTTGCTGGCAGTTAATCTGAGGTATTAAAGAGTATAAATAAAATAAGGAACAGCAGGATGGATGCTCTCATATATTCTATATTTTTCTTACCGTCAACAATTCACATGAAAACCAACAATGTGTCATGTCTTAGTCCCTCTAAATCTTTGAGACTTTTCAACATTGTCTGTAGCCTCAAATGTTTAAAGATGGGTCCCAAACCAAACCATTCTCACTCCAAACTCGTCAAATCCCCTCCCCTCGGTACCTGCACCAGGCTTTCAACTAACTCCAATGTAAAACCCACCCATGTCTATATTAGACAGCCAGACCAACTAATGTTGTATAAAGTCTAAAAGTCTGGTTGGGCGGGTCAAACAAACACAGGACTTTCACCCAGATGACTGCTGTTTGTGTCCTGTGTGAAATGAAGTCAATGTTGAGTTATTTTACCTTCCTTTAGATATGTAAATTCTGTATTTAACTAACATCAGTTAGATAACAAGCATGCTTATTTTACTTAACAAACATACTTATCTTAACCCCTACCAAGATCTTTTCCTAAGCCTAACCAACTACCTTTGTTGTCTAAACCTAACCAACCATCCTTTTAGCGGCCCACTACCGCAGCAGCTACAACCCCTACAGCCGGCTCAGTGATGTCTGAGCTGGCGGGCTAGGAGCTAACAGTCCTAACGGCGGCAACAACGGAAACAGACAGACAAAGCTAAGAGTTTTAACCTGGAGGAGAACTGTAGGGTGTGCATTACGTTTCCGCGACAATGCCGTCCTCCACTGCCGGTCAGAGGACGGCGTTGTCAGCGTAACCACTGCATGAGTGCGGTGCAGAGAAGCACCGATTCGCAGTGGCTTCCGATTCACACAGCTTCCATTCACATGATGGTTATAGAATGAAGTACTCTATTGGTATTGGTATCACTTTAAGGGTACTGGAAGTGGTACTGGCATCTTAATTTGTTAAACGATACCCATCCCTAACAAACATAGTTTTATTTTTTGGAAAAAGGCTACATCAGCTGGGCAATCTCATTTTAGCAAACATTACTCGCATACAACAGTGACTTTGTTAGGGACTATTTTTAGCCGTGGCTTAATGAACATTCGGTGCGCTTCTGCGTACTTACAGCAGCACAGACAATACTGTTTAGAAGCATCAATGCGTTATTAGTTTTGGTCTTTTTATGTTATTTGTTGACATTGTGAAAAATATAGAACAACATCAGCCTTATCCTTTTGAAGAAGAAGATGTGGAGCCATTTTGAACACATAATATACCATAGGGATCTATAAGAAGCTATTAGGTTTGCTACAGGCTCTGTAACATTTTGTTAGAAATATTACCACATGGTTGAGGTATGAAAAACCTGAAGCACTGACATATGAGCTAGTTATTGTCAAGTTATTGAAATTACAATCTGCAGAGGCCTTTATAAAGCATCATATAGGATCATGTCCTTGTTTGTTTTTTCTGACTAAAAACCAAGAACTGGTTAACACAGAGGTTAAGGAAGATAGAGATAGAAAGAGAGAGGGGTGCTTTCAAAGTTAATTGGACCAGAAATTACAGTATGGGACTTACCCTGGCACCCTTCTCTGGGAAACATTTACAGCCTCCGCTGCAGTCTCTTCCTCCACAGGGGCCACTGTGCTTCTTCCCACCCTGTCAGACACAAAACAGACAACATGGAAGTTAGAGCTGGGCTATTGGACGTCACATATATACTGGAAACTGCAACATTTTGCTGTCCACTTCATTTACATAAACACAGTAGAGATATTTGTCAATGCGTTGTGGCTTGCTTTGCTCTTTGTGGCTTAGATGGGACACGGTGTGGGGTACAACGTTGTGTACTGTAGGCGCGACGTGACCGGCTATGTTTGTGTACGCTGTGGTTTGTGAAAACACTTGTTGTTTATGTGTGTTTTAGTGTTGCCTGCACTGCTTATATTGGTCTGGTGTGCAGAGAGGATGTTTTGTATGTGGCTCGAATGACTCATGATGGATGTCCACACATAATGGATGTCTCCTCAAAATCCTATTCATCAAATAGTCTGAGTCCGGCCTCTGACAGGGGCAATTTGCCTGTAGATGTCTGCATACCAAGAAAACCACCCACCATCACAGGCCGATCTGTGCTCGACGTGACACAATCACACAGTGGACATGACACGATCAAAGAGAGCAGTCACACAAACGGGGTTTCCCAACCCACAGGTCAGAGGTGGGAGACCCTACGCTGGCTGACATAGCTGGAAACATAATTAAGACAGAATGGAATCTTGGAGAACTTTTTGTGTTCATGTGGTGTTTCAAATGAAAATCACATGCAAAATCCAAGTTTGGTTTTCGGGATCATGTGCCACGACCACATTTCTTGCTGATCAGAAACAGAAGCAAAACAATTAGAAGCCTTGACAAAACTGTAGACACAACATAAGGTGTTGAGAGCCACACCTTAACCCTCAATGCTTCAAAACAGATGCACATCAGCTCAAATTTATAGCTGAAACAATTCACTGAACCCAAATGTTTATTTTAACAGATCCGTTTAGACCCTCCAGCCCTATTTAAATGCATGACTGGAAATTTTTCACCCTTGTGCCTGAGTGATTAGTAATGAAACAAACACACGGACACACACACTGCATATAGCGTTCATTCAACTCCAAATTTCCAAAGTTTGGGCAATTGGGTGACAAGGCCCTTCAGTGGCCTTTCAATTAGCATGTGAGTGAAACTTTGACTATAGACATGCAGAGAGGCTCAATGTAGCTGGTTATGACGTCTCTCTCTTGTGTCTGCCTACGTGCTCCACCTACACAGCCATACCATAGCAAATGCCTCAATACCCTCCCCTCTCCCTTGTTAAAAAAAAAAAAAATGAATAAAAATGGCCACTTTATGCCCACAGTGGCAACAAAATGGCAGAAAAAAAAATCTGAATAATTCTCCCTCTTCAATTTGACAGCAGATCCCAACGGTCTCTCTTACAATGGCCACATTGAGACTCTCCACACACACACAAAGACCTTCTTTTACTCTCGAGACGTTGTCCTTTACTGATCCCCTATCTCTACAACAAAAAGACCCTCTTCCCCTCCCTTATGGAATGCACAAGGCTGCATTTCTTGGTTAACTACCAGTGGATCTAAACGGTTCCTTTCAAACCCCTGTTTGATAAAGCAAAGACATGCTGTGATGCGTTTAATTTAGCCTGCATGCTATGGCAGCAAACTGAGGACACAGCATTCTTTACTTATATCCTTCATTTTGAACTCAATAGCTGAACAAGGGTATAACCAAAGCAAGTCTCCTCCGCAGGGGGAATACTTTTACAATAATTTTAGTTTCAGGAGTGGAGACAAAAGCAGAAGGTCACATCATCCCAATTAGGATGTAACAGAGTAACGGCATGACCTTTCTCCACATTGAGGTGGAAGTCCAAAACATTGACAATAGACTGCGTCATCTGCGGACAGACACACAAAGGATTGGCTCCCATAAAGGCAATTACACATTATGGAGCTATGCACCATCAATTCAACTTTACAGTTTACAGGCTCAAAATAGACGATGGCTGCTTCAGCGGAGGACAATAGGATCAAACTACAGTATCCTGTTTTCTCCACCCACCGTCACCGATGACCCACTCTTTGTCAAAATCTCCTTTTCCATAGATACTGCATTGCATTCCTTGGATGATATTGTGCTGCTGCATTTATTTAGAGCAGCGCCACACAGCTCTATAGAACAACAATATTCCGCCATATCAAAAAGTACAAAATATCATATGTTTACAAAATTGACTAAGTTAAAGAAACATTCTGCCTAGTGGTGAAACCATTCTGTGTCCTGTCTTTCTTCATTGATTTGGTCAAGACCAAAGAAAATGCATTGTTGCCTTTTACTTTGGTCCAGTTGTTCTTCACACTGACTTATTACAAACGAATCAGGAGCTGTTTGCTTCAACTTATATGGACAGATGCATACGGTAACTAAATTAGTTGCCAAATCACTGCACAATGCAACAAGAGAGACAGATGAATCCAGACCACCTATACCACAGTGTGGGGTCCTGCAGACTATTACCCTAAATCTGACATCTATGTAAATCTTTAGTGAATATCATTTGTAAACAGACAAGCGATACATTGCTACGTGTCTGCTGCATAGTGAATGTTAATTTCCGCCTCTAAAGTACAGATGAGCTGACGTCATCCTGCAGTGTCTCCTATTTTTTACTAAAGAAACCATTAATAATATCTATTCCAGAGGTTTTAAAAATATAAATGAGAATGTATAGTTATGTCTTTGTTATGAGAACAGTCAGACAAACCAGGTCAGTTTGTCATCTGTCTCGTTTACAGTATGGCTCCCCAGTGTTGATCATCTTTTATGTGCTGTAAACTACCTCCAGTGATCGAGGGCATCCACTGCAGTCATCTGCTCTACTTCAAAATTGCAATCGCGTGCATAAACGTTATCATGCTTTCCACAACAACAACAAAAAACACCCTCTTACTATATAAATTAACCTGTGCAATTGTGTACATCACTCAGACCACACACGGAAGTCAAAGGAGAAGTAAAATGTGCCATAAAAGATGGATTAGAAAAAAAGGCCAAGTAACAATATGCGGTTTTCCTCTTAAAGCCAACACAGTATCCCCTGAGCCAAAACAAATCCTGTTCCTCTCTTGCCAAGTTCCCCCGTTTTGAAGTGTGTCTAGAGTGTGTATACCAGTTTATCCATCGCTATAAGCAGAGCTACATGAAGAAAATACGTGTTATTGTGAAAAACAATAAAAGAGATGTTTCATCGGGAGAAAATCTACATTTTCCCTTAAAGAAACACTTTAATTAAGGATTAAGGAAATACAATTAGAGTCTTAAGAGTTCAGAGAGCCACAGTGCCTTACCCTTAATAAAAGTTCCGTAAAATATATCTAACTTGGATCAGTCTGTAAAAATAGAGCCAGTGAGTTGATATTTGTATGATAAATGTCTGTTACTTATATTTGTGTGTATCTATGGCCATGTGTATGTATGTATGTGTACACTAGGGGCGTCTACTCCACACAAACCATTCATGTGTACTATTTTTGGATTTCTTATCAACCTGCTTTTATCAGTGTTTCCCTAACATCAAACAGAGTTTGAGTTCAAGGTCTTCAAACCACATTGGTCAGATTAATGCCTTTTTTAATGAGGAATGTTGTTTTTGTTGCCTCCCTGTTCTTTACGACTGCTCTGGTGCCTCGTTCCAAATGTCCTTCAATGTACATTAAATTAAAAAAATAAAACCAGCTGGATCAACAGCACTGTTTCTCACGCTCAGTTTTATTACTTTATAACTGTAGTTTAATTCCACTTATACTGATTCTTTGTTTGTTTGCTATATCCCAAAATAAGATTTTAATAGACTGTCAGCTAATCAGAGGTGAGTATTTTCCATGGCCATAACAAAAGTCTGATAGTTTTCATTATATATATATTTTTTGTGATATACTTCCACACTATAGATTTTCTGAATTAAGAGGGAGCATTGCCTTTACCCTTGTGGGTGGTTGTCCATGTTTGAAAACATTTTCTTTTAAACTTGCTGATTGTTTTTAATTACTTGCTTAAAGACAACAAAAAATGTTAAAAATATGCTCATCACAAGTTCTCAAGAGAGAGGCCAAGAATATTCATCAATTTTTATAACAAATTGATTTAGATTTGTATCAATGCTTTGATTAAATGATGAATTGGTTGATCCCAATTGTTGGTTTGTTAATTTTCTGTGTATTGACTAATTGTTTCCATCATCATATAGAACATGCAGACATGATGATGGTTGGTTTGTGTGGCTTGTCTGTGGTCAGCCTGACTCACCATGGTCTTTAGCTTTTCCATGTAATATATACAGTAGGTTTACCACAGACATAAGCACTTCCTAACACTTCCTGTCAATGTCAAAAGAAGCCAAAATCAACACAGCATCTCAGCCACGGGAACAGGATGATGACAAGACTAAAACGGAAGAAGAAATGCAACTAAGGATGGAACTAAGAGGACAACGTATGGCTTTGGCTTTCAGCTAGAGACGGCTAAAGAGGCAAAAAACAGAAGGATCATGGGAGGATTTATGGTATTCCAGAGCAATCAGGAGTAATTAGACAAAATGGACCCATAATCCTTATACGGTTTAAAGAAATTCCAAATGCCACCAAGAGAGACATAAACAGAGAAATTTTATTTAAGATAATCTTTACAATTTAGGTTGTTACTTAGCTTAATTCAGATAAGTACATAAAACAATCAATGGAATCTAGAAAATACATGGTAAAGCCTCTCGCCTATTTAATGAAACAGCAAACAGGGCATAAAACACACAAGGAAAAGAAACAGACATATGGGAGACCGTGATGTCGACACACAGCTGTACATTCCACATCTCCCCCAGTAAATGACTCACTAAAACATCCCTGCAGATTCTTAACAAGCTAAAACCGTCAGAAATGTGCGTGATGTCCTTGACTTAAAGGAGTAGTGTTGTTGTGACAGAGACGGACACATTTCAGAGGAAGTCAGTAAATCTCCTGTTTCTGCCTGTAATTTTCCACATAAAACCATCATTTTTGTGTTTGCAGATCTCATACTTAAAAAAAAAAGTC